CCGGGGCGGCGGGCGGCGTGTCCAACAGCAGCGGTGACGCCTTGGTGACTCGCCTGTCCACGCTGCTCCGCGACCTGCCCACCCTGAAGGCGGCCGTGATCGTGGCGTGCGCCTTCAGCGCGCTGCTCATCGCCTGCCTGCTGCTGCGCGTCTTCAGGTGGGTCCCGCGCCTGCGCCGCCGTCCCCGCAGGTGCCCGGGCCGGCGGGCGGCTTGGAGCGCCCCTGCCACCCTGCCCCTGCCACCTGCCCGGAGGGTTGGGCTCAGGAGGCGTGTGGGGAGCGTTTCTGTGGTTTCTCTAGGTGCACATTTTAGCAATTCTTTCCTCTTTCTTTAAGCATATGCAGTGTATCATAAATACTGGTTTCCGTTTACCTCTCTGCTAATGCTGAACGTTAAGCAGCGCTCTGAATTTTCACCACCCTCCACGGGATTTATTTTATATCCGTTGCACAGATGAGGAAAATATTTCCAGGGAGAGAAGCTAGCATAGCTAAGTAAACTCAGGGTTGGAGGTAGGATTTGAACCCAGGTTTGCTTAACTTGAATCTTGCCATCCTTTTCCCCCACTTCATCTGCAGCTCCTTCATGCCCCATCTGCTTTTTTTGTGTTTTCTTTTTCTGCTACTGCTTTTTTCCCTTTTTCTGGAGTGGGGAAGGCCCTCAGGACTGCATTTGGAGGTGTGCTTTCTGCCTGGCTCTGGTGCTGGCCTTCATGGTTACTTTGGTGGCCTTAGCGACTGTGCGTTGTGGGGGGGACAGTATTTCCTGATGGCTCTCTTAGCCCCTATGGATGAAGCCATCCTGCCAAGCATTCCCAGAGCCCTGAGCTGCTCAGAGAGACTTCTGCAGGGTGATCAAGGTCAAGGAGAAAGTGGCCAGGAGGTTAGGAAGGTCCCTGGCGTGCTGGGGTGGACAGCCCCCAGGGAGGTGAGCTGGGATTTCCTGCAAATGCCTGGGAATCCTGTTTGTGTAGGAAATGGACTCCACAGGTCCTGTTCCTCAGTGGCTGGCCTGGAGATCCGGGGTACATGTCACTCTCTGCTGCTGCCTCTGCTTCCCGGTGCGCACACCGTGCTTGGTGTGATGGCTTCTCTGCAGTTAGTGCCGAAGCAGAACTCAGGCCTGGGAAGGCAGGGTCGCGAGCTATCCATTGAGGTTGCTCTTGGTTCCGTGCCCCACTGAGTGCAGCTGTTCCCTTCTGGATCTGTTCCCCTCTGATTAAACACCCGGGATCTGAGAGTATGGGGCAGGGTCCGCTTCCCACGAGATCCCGTGCTCCCCTGACTATGGCTCCACTGGCTCAGGCCGCCTTGTTCCTCTCCAGGTGAATCTCCTCAGCGCCCTCCTGGTTCACCCCACCCTTCCCACTGTCGTCGTTCTTCTGTTTACTAACTTTAGCGGCTCCTTGGAGCCACTGCCTATGCATGGAGCTACCTAAGTGTGGCATGTAGGGCCTTTCCCCGGCCCACCTTGCAGCCCTTTGCGTCTGTCTCACGTCTCTTGCTCCTTTCCTTGTGCTCCGTGGTGCTGGCCTGTGCTTCCTGGACTCTGACCCGATTCCTCTGCATCTACCAAGCGTGACACAGCCACCCATGCCCAGCTCCAGCCCTTTCCTTCCTGTGTAGTTTTCCTGGACATGGTTGCTTTCTTTTCTGGCTCCCCAGCCCTCCCCTTGTGCATCCATCCTCCAGTGCAACCTTTCTTTTGCCATAGTGGGTTGCTGTGTTTGGGGCCCAGCTCCCGCACTGAGCACAGAGCCCTGAAGGGCGGAACACCCAGTTCATCCCAGGGCCCTGGGCCCGACGGGGACCTGGCATTCTGCAGGGGCACCGCTGTCATTTCCTGACTTCCTGATTGTGCACTAGGGGCAAACGCATGCCTACAGCAGCTCTGAGCCTGGAGGGTTGAAACATTTAGCTCAAAATAGGCTGAGCCCACAAGGCTGTGTACTTTTTAAAGAAGGTATTTGAAATATTTTGCCAGTCTGCTCTTTATTACCCAGGAGCGGGAGAGAAAAGAAGGCTGCATGAGGCCAGATGTGAGGACATGGAGCCCTGTGTTTGAGCAGCCGGAAGGGCGCGTCCTTGTTGGCCAGGAGGTGGGGTGTGGGAGGAAGGGCACTACTTCAGTGGAGAAGCTGCCTGTGGGCCCCATCTGCCTCCTCTCCCCGGGAAGAAGGTGTTCTTGTTAGGTTGAGTCTCCAGATAGACATTTGCCATCCTGGATTCAGATTTACACAAGAATTTGTAGCATTGACAGCTGTGAAGGGCCTCATGGTGCCCAGTCTAAGGTTACACCCGGACAGGGGAACAGCGTCACTGGCTTCTAGAACACTCGGCAAGTGTGATGGCCATGGCAGGCCCAGCACCTGGTCTATTCTTTGGTGGTCTGGACTGTGGCTCCTCCCCTTTCCCCGCGCTTCTCTGTGGTGTGGTTTGTCAAGCTCGCTGAAGGCCCACTCTGCTGGCAGTGTCCTGACCCGATGGATCCAAGGCTCCTTAGCCTGCAGGCCACGAGTCCCGGCCATTTTGCCAGTCAAGGCTCCCCGGGACCATCTCACTTCTAACCGAACCACCTTCACCTACTGAAGCTCTTAATCTGCAGCAGCTTCTGCCTGGGGCGCATTCCTCCCTCGTCTCTCTGGAACCAGTGATCTCCTGGGGTTCCTGCTTCTGTCCTCATCTCCTTCCACCCCAGCCTCCCTCTTCTGCTGGGATGCTGGTCTTATCTTTCCTCTGCCACCATGTCCCCCATACAAACTCCTCAGCATGCAGGAAAGGCTGTCTCTTGATGACCAGGGTTTTGCCTCCCTCTCCAGCTCCTGTATTGGCTCCACCCAGTGTGTGCCAACCACTGCTCAGTCCTGTTAGACTCCTCAGGATCCTCCAGAGTCACCATGTATGGTGGGCATCTTTCCCCACTCTGACTCTTGCCTGGATTCCCCTCCACCATCAAGACCACACAACTAGCTCAACGCTGTGTGCCCTCCTGGGTTTCCTGGCCTGAGGAGCCTCCCCAGCCCGACCCTCTGAGTTCCCAAGCACACTCATGCCTTAAACTTCCTGCTGGGAGTCTTGAGTGTCTCTGAATGTGCCCTTTGGCCCTGCCAGGCTGAGGGCTCCTGAGAGCAGGGCTGAGCCTTAATCTCCTACGTCTCTGTAACACCTCCTGTGGTTCCAGGCTCAGGTTGGCATTTCATAAAGATACTTTTAGCAAAAGAACATTGAACTCCTAAGCATTTCAGATTGCTGATGTCTTAAAAATGTCCCGTGGGACTAGGTACGTGGCTGATGGGAGGTCACCTGGGTGGTGGGAATTTCGTTGTTGCCCATTCATCTTCTCTTCAGCATAGATAGAGGGGAATAGTGGAGGGCGATTGCTTATTGAGCGGTGGTTCAGGCTATTTGTGTTTCTGTTTTCCTGGAAGGAGTCTCCTTGCCGGACAACAGAAAAACGATGCGGATCCAAGGAAACCGTTAAAGTTTCCTATATATCATAGTGAAAAATATATGTACCTTCAGTCAAGCGGTTCCATATGCATTTTTTTTCTCACTGCAGTATGCATTCTTTGCTTCACGTGTTAATGATTAGGAGAGGAAGCAAGATTCATGGAAATATTCAGAGCAGTTCTGCTTGACAGTGAAGAGTTTTAAATAACCCATAGCCTCTGGTTGGCACTGGTTAAGTAAATGATGGTGATCCTTAACAGTCATAGAATGTGATGACATTGGTTTGATACTGACTGTACACTTGAACGTGCCACTTGTCACAGATAAGTGTGGATAGTACGAGCTGATTCCAATAAATAAATTATAAATATATACCTACATGAATGTGCAAAGACATCTGTTAGCACGTGTGCATGTTTGGCCATGTGGGTGACTGTTCCTTATAATGCAGTTGTTTATCATAACATATTTATGCACTGTCTGAATTCCTGCACAGCTGTGTGACACCTATTCATTGTTTCCATCCCAGCAAGTGCACTCAGGTCCTTGCTGATCCTGGGGTGTGTCTCGGGCTAGTACAGACCTGCGGTGTACACCTGGGAGTGGGACTTCTGGTCCTAGGGGTGCTTGTACTTGATTTCCTGAGTAGGCACCAGCGCAAGCTCTCGCCTGCAGTGTCCATGGGTCCTCAGAACCTTGCATCGTACCCGGCATTTGATATCAGCTAGCTTTGTGATGCTTTCCCCTTAGATGAGTGTGACTTGCTACCTCATTGCTTTGCTTTGCATTTCTCTATTTTATACTGCGCTTGAGCCACAGTCTGTTCCTGTCCTTCCTAATCAATCTGATTTCCCTGTATACAGAATCATTTCCACCTTTTCCATGTACATTACCATTAAGGAAAATTTTAGATGGGAGACTGCAGGAGGGCGGCAGTTTGGAGACAGCACAGCTCCCGGCGGGACAAGTGTGCACCCTCCTGCTGGTGTTCAGGGGCAGACACCTCTGCTGTGGACCTGAGGCCTTTCTGAGAGTGGCAAGGGACTCAGCAGAGAGGCTGGGTCCAGTAGACACTGGGATTTCTCCTGATTTTATTCAGTATTTTTGGGACTGGGGATTGAATCCAGGGCATTCCCAAAGGACTGAGTTATATTCCCAGTCCTTTTTATTTCTGAAACAGGGTCTTGCTGAGCCCTTGTATTGTCCAGGCTGTGGTTGAACTTTCGGTCCTCCTGCCTTAGTCTCCCAGACTGCAGGGATCACAGAGGTGCACCACCATGCCTGGCTCTGACTCTTTGATATTGAGAAACATCTGGAGGGGTCATACCGATTCAGGGGTGGGACAGGTAGGTGGTGACTGCTGGCAGCAGGGCATTTCCCCCTGGTGTTCTCTTAGAGCGCTTCACTCTGAGCTCTGGGGCGGGGTGGGCATCCTGACTTTACCTTCTGCTGTTGTGTGGATACGGGGAAAAGTCAGGGAAATTGTCACCTTGAAGCTGCAACTTTCCTTTCCCGGTCTTGGCAGAGCCTCCCGGCTGTGTTGGTGCAGGCTGTGTTTTTCCCATCTGTTGGCTGCCTGCTTAGCCATTTTTCATTTCAGAATCTGTAAAATCCTCTTATCTCAAAGGAAAGTTCATTTGGATGCTTCTCCGGGGACGGGGAAGACGAATTCTAGGTGACCTCACATTGCCCATCTGTTGGTGGCAA